AGTTAGGGACCTTTCCTGGAGCCTGGGGTAGAATCAATCCCGGCAAAACCAGTGGCTGAGGGGTGGGATGCTGGGAGCTAACCTTAGTGTTCTGCCTCAGCCCCCAAAGCAGAGCTGCTGTGTGTTCAATCCAAGGGCACACGCACCACTGCAGCCCACGGGAGTGGTGACCCCTGAGGCTGAGTGTCTCAACCTGCAGGGTCACAGGAAGCAGCCCTCAACCCAGGAGAGGACAGCTTCTGGGAAGTAGGGGTTTCCCTGCCTGGATGTCAGGGCAGAGCTAGTCCAGCATTAAGGGGCAGGGTGGTGGCCGGTAGGCCGGAAGACTGGTCAATGTGCGTGTCTTCAGACTTCTTTGCTCCGAATCGGTCTGCCTGTCTGCCATTGAGGGAGCGATGACCAGAACTGAACTCATAGCAGTCAGCTCTACAACTGTGAGGACATGGGCAGAACTGTGGGATGCCACTGGGAGCCACCAGCAGCTGAGGAGAGTGACTCACGCCCTGTTGACAGGGATGGCGTGGCCCAGACAGAGAATGCAGGAAGAAGGTGGCTTGAAGACATGTTGGGACAGCCCAGGTGAGGGGGCTGCCTCTGAGATTTTGATCTGCAATTTTTTTTTTTTTTTTAAAGTAGGCTCACACCCAGCTTGGAGCCCAACACGGGGCTTGAACTCACGACCCTGAGATCAAGACCTGGGCTGCGATCAAGGGTCAGATGCATAACCAACTGAACCACCCAAGCGCCCCTGTAATTTGTTTTTATAAAACGAAACAAAACAAAACCTGAAGTGGCAAGACTTATATCTTCACAAACTATAAAATGCCTCTCCCATTCCTCCCTCTGTCTGTACCACTTCCCTCTCTACCAAGATGCCACTGTAATTACTGGCACAGGCGCGTCACACAGAATGCCAGGGGAAGGATCGTGCTGGCACCCTTGCTGAGAAGTCCACCCATCCTTCCTGTGCAGTGTTCTCCTCATACGGGTGGGTGGGGCGTGACTGTTGGCCCGCCCAGCTTGGCCATGTGCACTTGGCCCTCCCATCAGCCACCGGGCGAGGAGAATCTTCCCCTGCTTGAGCAGATATGTGCCGATGTTGGCTGAAGGAAGCGGCATACCACCAGTGGGACCTGAGACTTCAGGAGAAAAAAATCAACAGAGTTGTGCCTGCATATCATTCCGGGCTAGGGAGAGACACACTGGGGGCAAAGCGTCGCTGGGATCAGACGAGGGTGCTGCCTACAGAAACAGGCATAGCTTTCTAAGTTGTGCTGCAAAAACAATTAAGCTGCTGAACACTCGCGCAGTAATGCTGTGTGATTTACAAGGCCTTTTGCTTCTCTCAGGTCTTTGAAACAAGAGCATCAGAAACCCTTTTGCAGAACAGAAAACGGAGGTAAGGAAAAGTCGCACCTTGCTGAAAGTTACTCGGTGAAGCCTCCATTGAAATCCAGACTCTCTAACCCTAAATCCCATCTTCTTTTACCACTGGTGTTCAGCGTTTCAGAGTAACACTTTTGGGGGCCCTGCCAGTGCAGGGAATATTAGTTAAGGTGTGCCATGGAATGGATTAAACAAATCCCACCAAACCCTTTGCTTACCCACGGGTTCATTCTCATTCTTCTGCTTAGTTTGCTAATGTAGGAGTCACATGTTCCTGTTGTCTTTATTCTCCCGGTTTAATCAGGAAAACGAGCCAGAAGAGCTGAAATGATTAGCTGGGGATCATTAGAAGAGGAAAGAATTTATATTCACAGTGACTGTATTTCTAGTCCATTGATTAGGCAATTTTGCTTTTATGAATCAATTGTGGTGATTGCTATGCTGAATAAAATATGGAATTGCTATCGCAAAGAAAACATAAATTACCAGCTTTAAAACACACAGTGTCTCTGCATGGAACTATGTATCCTATGGTCTATTTCTCATTTCCTCTCCCAGAATTCTACGTGGGTTTCTCAGGGGGCTCTCCCATAGGTTCCTTGGCTCTACTGTGGCTTATAGCAGCATGAGCCAACAAGGTGCAACATTATTATTTAGCTTCCACTGACCGCCCCCTTGTAGGTGGTCGGTGGTGTTCAAAGTCAACGCAGAGTGCTCTAGGGGAGAGATCAGTACCCACGTACATCTTGACTCTGCAACTTCAATCCAGAAGGTAAGGTGATTTTTAGAAATATATATATGTATATATATAATCACCTTTGGCAATTCTAATAACAAACGCACCAACAACCTCAGCTCCTATTAATATGTTGAATTTTTTTCATAGGCGATACAGAGGTCATTTCCTAAGTCGCCCATTTCCCACTGATCCATCTCCGTGGATTGCCTCTTGCTATAGCAAATATGATCATGTCCAATGAATATAATGAATAATTATGGAACTTTATTTCATAAGAGGGTGTTTTAAAAGCCAGATAATCACTTTTAAGAAGACACAAGAAAATAGAATAGGACAGGATAGAGGTGGAAGGAGGAGGAGAAAACAGAGAAGAAATAGCAACAGATCAAGTGCTTTAAGACTAAAACCTTGTGGGGCGCCTGGGTGGCTCAGTTGGTTAAGCGACTGCCTTCGGCTCAGGTCATGATCCCGGAGTCCCGGGATCGAGTCCCGCATCGGGCTCCCTGCTCAGCAGGGAGTCTGCTTCTCCCTCTGACCCTCTTCCCTCTCGTGCTCTCTATCTCTCATTCTCTCTCTCTCAAATAAATAAATAAAATCTTTAAAAAAAAAAAGACTAAAACCTTGCAAGGCCATTGTTTAGGCATGAAGAACAAAGAAGGAGGTATGCGGCTTCAGTGGCATGGGATTTTTGTGGATTCTAGGTACCAGAAGCTTCATGAATGAATTCGTTTGACAAACGATATGTGAAGGCACTGAGGATTTTAGATTGTTGTAATTTTTTTAAGATCTAGCAGTCTCGTAGCCTACCGTAAAAGGACTGGCTCACGAGAGAGAGAGAGAGAGCAGATGACCATGAAGGAAAAGGGGAAGGAGAAGGAGAGAGAACAAGCAGAAATGAAAATACGTAGCAGCAGCAGCTAGTGCCAACAAAATCCCCAGGGCAAGCCCTTTCTTCCCCAAAGAAGACATGTCGCCCACTTCTTAATTAACACGTTCCTATTTTTTCTCAGCACAGATCAATCCTGAGCACCAGCTTCCATAAGTTCTTCCCTCCCAAGGTACTGTGAGGAACACAAGATAAATAAGATTCAGACCCTATTAGAATCTATTTGGAAATTTCAAGCAATGCACCCTGAATTATGGATCTGCTCTAAGACAGCATTCAAGCAGGTGCAGAGGGGCCTGGTCCACACTCTGGGTGTGCAGTTCCAAGAAGAGAATGGGCCACACAAGGGTGGAAGGGACTAGGAGGTTTTCATGCCAAAGATGGACGGACGCCAGCAAGGCTTAAGAGGAGGCACAGCAGAGGGGAGGCAAGAGGACCTCAGGCAGAGCAGAAATTAGCATCAAGTGTTTTGAGATCAAGAAGAAAAATCTGTGACTTCTTTCACTGCAGGTTAATTACTGGGGGGTAATGGGGAATCAAACTTGACTAAATGGGGGAAGGTGGGACTTCCAAGGGCCCAGAGACTCAAGCATAGGGAGGCCGTAAGGAAGCCAGCCCTGGCCCGGGTACTGAGGGAGAACGGAAGAACCAGGGGCCCGGGAGTTAAGGCCATGGACAGGCTGTCGCATTACTCCCCTTCTGTGGAACTGGACCAGGATGGCTGCTGGGAAGGAGAAGGAGCTGGGAGAGAATTTCAAAGAGATTTGTTGATAAGGCTTGGAGACGGATCTGATTTCGGGCAGGGGTAAGGAGGGCGTGGAAGATGACTCCAAGGCTGCGAATATGTCTCAATTCTGCAAACTGGAGCAGGGTTTGTCTTGGCAGATGACAAATGCCTAGATAAGAGAATAAGAATGACTTGATGTGAGACTGGGACACACCTTGGGGCAAAAATCAGAGCTGTCCCTTCCTCCCCAGCCCCCGGGCGTTAGGCAGGGATTTGAGGAGATGATGCAAAAGCACCTCTGACCGGAAGCGGGCCAGGCTGCCGAGGTACCAGGTAGGGCTGAGGATCCGTGTTTGCACCTGTACGGCACGGGCCCTGCTGCTTGTCTGACTCCGCCGCTGTGGCCCCCATTCAAGGAGCGCGACCCGCTCACTCGCGGGCACCTGGCGCTGTGCTGGCTCCGGACACTGGGGAGGCTCTCAGTCTCCCCGGGAAGGCAGAGATGAGCAGACCGGGGGATCTGAAAACAGGAGCAATCAATCCAAGGAAAGCATCCGAGATAACCTCTTCCGGTGTTTACTGAGGGATGCTGTGTTGAATTGGCATCGATGAAGGGGCAGTAAAGATTTCAGGGCACTGATCTTTCTTCAGAAATTCTTGGCAGGAGCAGAAGTTGGCATGATTTAGGGTGAGAAGTTTGTGTCTCAAAGTTCGCCATGTAAGAGTCTAGGGCTGTGGTCACAGCAGCTTGAGGAAGTTAACCAGGGTAGCCCCTGGGAGGCTAGGATGCAGAGTACAGCAGTGCCCCTTATCCAGGGGGATGCTTCCAACACCCGCAGGGGATGCCTGAAACACTAGTACCCAACCCCATGTATGCTATGTTTTTTTCCTATCCATACATACTTATGATAAATACATACTTCATTTATAAATCAGGCACAGTAAGAGATGAGCAACAATAATAAAATAGGACAACTATAAGCATATACTGTAATAAAAGTTATGTGAATGTGATCCCTTTCTCGAAACATTTTATTGTACTTCTTGTGATGACGGGAGATGATAAGATGCCTATGAGATGAGATGAAGTGACGTGAGTGACGTGGGCTCGTGACCTGGCATCAGGCCACTGACGTGTCAGGAAGATCATTTACTTCCCCACCAATTGGCCCCATGCAGGTAATAAACTAGGGAAAGTGAAACCATGGATACGGGGGATTGTTTGTTGTACATGCTTTTTTAAAGCAAAGGCTGAATGTTCAGGTTCCATGGTGTAGTGGTTAGCACATCTGCCTTACTTGCAGAAGCTCCTGGGTTTGATTCCCAGGGGAACCCCAAAGTTGCCTTAGTTCCCATTTAAGTGGGAGGATGAAATTGAGCAAAAGAAAACAGGCTTATTTTCATCTTTGCCAATAAGGATCCTTTTATTTATTTTTATTTATTTATTTTTAAAGATTTTATTTATTCATTTGAGAAAGAGAGAGAGCACAAGCAGGGAGAGGGGTAGGGGGAGAGGGACAAGCAGCTTCCCCACCAGCAGGGGCGCCCCACTCCGGCCCAAGACCAGGACCCTGAGACCATGACCCGAGCCAAAGTCAGACGCTCAGCTGACTAAGCCACCCAGGTGCCCCCAGAATCCTTTTAAATACTATTTCCTGGGTGTGTACAAACGTCCTGAAATGCAGGTATTCTTTTTATCAATTTATGGCACAGAGAATAAGCTGAAATCTCACACCGAAGGTCCCCAGGTCCAGGGCCAGATATTCCTGATTTCTGTCCAGCAGGGCTGCAGGGCACTGAGCGCATGGAGCGGAGCAGGAGTCCAGGAGCCCTCTCCTCCAGGGCTGGTCCTGGGGTCTATATGGTAATGTGACCTTTTTTCTTGGAGGCTCCCCTGACTTCACCCCTAAGATAGCATGAATCCTGGCTGCATTGTGCTGTGCTTGAGAGGTATGGGAAAGGAAGAAGTTTAGCCAAGTCAGGAATAGCCTAGGTTTTGATATCAAGAAGTCTGTGTTCCAATTCCGCCTCCACAATGTCACTAGCTGTGTGATCTTGGACACACTTTCCTCTAAGCTTCTGTTCCCGTGTGTGGACTGGGCATAAGAATAGCACAGTCCCATAGGAAGTCTGTGCACATTGAATGAGATGATCTGTGGAAAGTGCTTGTTGGCACCGTGTCCACTACCTAGTAGGCACTCAACGTGTGCTCCTTGGTCCCTGGTATCAGAGTGCAGCTGTATCCAGGTTCTGTGGGAGCGCTAGGACTAAGCAATGCTGCCTGTACCCTTCTCTGCTTCTCTCCCCTGGCCACTGACTCAAATACCAGCCACTGAAACACTAAACCTCATTAACAGGTGGAGTCACCTCTGAGCTACCTCCACAGTGCAGCGTGAACCCCACTCAGCCCCCCACTGCTTTTTTCTCTGGCTCATTTTCTGGTTAATCCAACAACTTGAACAAAAGTGTTCCCTCCCACCCCGTCCCCCCCACCTCTCCACCCCACGTACCACCCACCAAAAGATGGGGAGTTGGGATCATGGCAGCCCAGAGGTAAATCCTGCCCAAGGAGCCCTATAGGAGAGCCCACAAAAGAAAGGGGCTCTTTGCCAAAGAAGATTTTTTATTTTTATTTATTTACCTTTTTTGCTTACAGGCTCAGAATTCAAACAGAGGATGCTGAATGGCCAGAACCTTGGCCCACCCCCGAGTACCCAGGGCATGTGGCCAGCACCAGTTCAAGTTTCTGCCCAGTAGGCTCGTAATCTGAACTTTCTATTTCTAAAATCCCAGTTCTTAGTAGCCAGCACACATTCTGAGCCACAGAGTTCTGAGAATTATTGCACTTGTCAGCTGCTAAGTCACATGTCCCTCAGCCTGGTCCCTTCTACTGGTATAATAGTACTCATGTTAGAGCCATGAATTTCACTGTCACATGAAAGTTGGCATCCCTTATAATACCACCCAAGGCTTGCCATAATCACCCAGAAATACACCGTCAGGACTGTCATAATTAATCAATTTTCAGGATCCCTCAGGGTCTCCAAATACAATGACTGGTAGCAAATTAATAAATACTTTGGATCATCCCATTTAACTTCATCAAAGCACTGACCCCATGATGAAAATTTAGCTTAATTAGGATAATATCTCATATTTAAAGAGTGCCTTAAAGCAAAGAAGCCCCCAGATTCCATCTTTTAATTTTCAAAGCTACAGCACATATCACTTAGAGCCAACTTTCAGTGAACAGGTATGTTTGTCCCCATTTTACAGATGAGAAGAGCTTCCTGCCCACTGACCTTTACAGAGCTAGGGGCTGGGGAGGTGAGCCCAGAGCTCAGGTTTCCCTTTGGGGTTGACTTTATTTGTTTTAATTTATGTTTATGGACTATCAGCAGCACAAAAATATATACGGAATGATTTTTGTGTGTGTGTGAGTACCTATTTCGTGAATAGGGTATCCTGTGTACACTGCGAGGCTGTAAATAGATGTCAGTAGTGGAAGGCTGGAGTGGACAAATATAGAATGTAGCTTGTGCTCAGCAATGCCGCACACCCCCACAGAGCCCCATGCTGGTATGCTAACTGGTCTGTTTAGAAGCTTTTTTTCTTTCTTCTTCTTCTTCTTCTTCTTCTTCTTTTTTTTTTTTTTTTTGGTTTAGTTGCATGATAGTACAAAGAGCCTTGTGTTATGGTCTCAACACTACTATTTATACCCTGTGACCCATTAAGCACTGATTCCTTGGTTGGGGTTCTCCCAACATCTCCAGAAAAAAAAAAAAAAAAAAAGAAAGAAAGGGAAAAAATAGCCTGACTGGAAAAAAAAGAAAAGCAGTTCTCATTTACAATACTTGAGTCAAGAATTTGGAAACATGACCCTAGCCAAAGCCTTCAGAGGCCTCATATCAAATGTTGTTATTTTTGGGTGGCTTGAAAATAAGGCTGGTTGAGGCGTGGGCACCCGAGTGGCTGTCGCAGGAAGCAGGAGCTAGGGTGGGCCCGGGGCTCTGTCCAGAGCTGTCCCCGTGCGGGGCGGGGACAGTCAGCTGCCGGGGGCCTGGCCCCAGGCCTCACAAGAGGAATTGGCAACTTGGCCAGAGGAGAACTTCACCTTCCCTGGGTCGACCTCCCTCCCCTGCAGAGCGGTGTCAGGCCTCAGCCTTCCCCCTAGGTCTCCCAAAGGCAACCAGGCACTCTTTTCCTCCTAAACACGCTAGGAAATGCACCCCAGTTAAGTCTGACACCCCCACCCCTTCTCCAGGGGACTTCGTTTTATTTAAATAGGCAGTATTTTTCCTGAAAGTGAATTTCCTCTCCCCCCAAGCCCGTTTGGGAAAAGTGCCCGCTGGAGATATTTTTACGCTCTGTCTGCAGTGGGTGAAAGGGAACCCTGGCTTTAGCCACTCTCCGGGAATGCACCCCACTGTGGTGTGTCAGCCTCAGAACTGAGGCACTGCCCATGTTTGGGAACGCAGCTCACTCAGCTTGTCCCGCGGCATCTCCCTTCCAACTCAGCACGACCAGCGCGTGCGCGCGCACGCACACACACACGCATGCGCACGCGCGCCCGCAGCCACGCGAGCACGCACACATCTGGCTCAGAGACCAGATGGTTACCTGCTGTGTCGCGGACGTTTTGTACACATTTTGAAAACTACTCCGGCGGAGACTGAGGGAGATGTATGGGCTCCTCTTCTGCGAAAACAACAGAGAAAAATATCAAGTAAACTTTCCAGAGCACACACTGGAGGAAGAGACAGGAAGCCTAACCTCTAGGCTTTGCATTAGTCACGTGCCCTCAGAGTTACCTTCGAGGAAAAGGTCTTTAAAATGTTTAGACTCGATTCCTCTTTGTAAGGAAGTCCATGTTTAGCTGCCCAGGAACCCTGTAAAATAGAAGATTGTCCATTCTCGGCCCAAGCGTTAGGTTTTCGCTCCTCCAAGACTGCTCCCTGGCCGCACGCGCCCTGTGTGTGTGTGTGCGCCCACCGGCCCTTCCTATGGAAATTCTACTTGTCCTTTGACCCAACTCAAATCCCGCCTTCTCCGCACAACTTTCCTACTGCCCCATCGTAAAGACAGGCCCTAACACAAGCCAGGGGCAGCGTCCCACATTCCAGAGAGTTCGTGAGGTTGCGGAGAAAGAAAACAAGAGGGGTGGTGAGAGCTGGGTTGGAAAAGCAACAAACCTGAATTTCAGATGTTCTTGTCAGCCACATGAAGAGGTTTTTCTTGAATGGAGAGACAACGGGAAGCTGTGATCTTATGTATAAGGGTGAGTCGATGTTGCTTGTGTCCAAGTGATGTAACCAACAGCCGGGAAGTGTTTGTGGGTGCATAAACGAATATTTATCGGGTAACTTGTGCAGGGCTCTGAAAACCTCTGCGGCAGTGTTAGTTCATGCTCTGTCTTTAACATTTGGAAGTTGGTATGGTCTGAATGTGTGTCCCCCCCCCAAATTCATATGTTGATTCCCTAGCCCCCAACATGATGGTATTTGGAGGTGGGGTCCTTGGATTAGGTTCAGATGACATCTTGAGGGTGAGGCCCCAAGGGTGAGGCGGGATTAGTGTCCTCGTAAGAAGAGTGAGCAAGACCAGAGCTCGCTCAAATTCTCTCGCTCTCTCTCGCTATCCGTGCCACATGAAGACGCACTACGACGGCGGCCATCTGCAAGCCAGGAATTAGGCTCTCACCCCGAACCGAATCTGCTGGCACCTTGACTTTTTTTGTGTAAGATTTTATTTATTTATTTGAGAGAGAGAGACACAGCAAGAGAGGGAACACAAGCAGGGGGAGTGAGAGAGGGAGAAGCAGGCTTCCTGCTGAGCAGGGAGCCCGATGCGGGGCTCGATCCCAGGACCCTGGGACCATGACCCGAGCCGAAGGCAGATGCTTAACGGACTGAGCCACCCAGGTGCCCCTCTTTCAACTGATTCTTGATGCTCTGTGTTTAGTTTGGAAAGTACAGCTCTTATATACAAGAGATTGGCACCTTATAAATTGTTTCTTCAAAGACTATGGGAAGAAGAAACTCACTGTTTTTATCTCCATCTAGAACAAATGTACTTGAATTCTTCCTGCACGTGCCAAAAAAATACAGAGTATGTTCTATGAAAGGTTATATGAAATATGTTGTCCGTATATATAATTTCCGACGGAAGGAAGACTTATAAATCTTCACCTGTGCCTCTCTCGCCTAATAACTTACAATGCCAAGCGTTGGTTTCCACCCAAGGCAATAGAAAGTCAGAGGGCCAAAAGGAAGGAAAGATCACAGGCATTCTTTATAACACCTGTGTGATGAGGAATGCCCAGGACAGTGTCTGGG